TTGATTCCTAAAATTCACTTTGAAAAACGATTTGAAATTTTACTGAAGTACATCGGCTCTATTAAAAGCCTGGAGGATATAAATAAATGGTTTAACACGTGACTCGTATACATTTGAGCAGGTAACAACCCAGAACCAAAGAACCAAGGTCACTCACAGTAATAACAGACACAAGTGTTGATTCAATAAATGTCCTGACATCTATATCACTATAATCACTAAACACTATATCATACCTCTCACTATTATACACATACCTGTATGTGTAGACTAAGCACATAAAAGTGAGAGGCGATGGGAATAATTCATCAAAAGCTTTTTTTCATCCAAAACATGATCTAAAATTGAAATTCTTTTGAAACATTAAACATATTGCTTATTGAGGTGCATGTGAATGTTATTATAAATGTGTTTTACATTTAAAAAAAAAAAAAAAAAGCAGTCACCTCCAGTGTCTAATTTAATCAAATTCTTTGCATCAAAGCTTCATGAATTCTTTTCTTCCATTGCGATGTTTGTTTTTACAGCTGACAAACCAGCAGCAACTGTGCCATGTTCACATATAAGTTCAATTAATGCAAAGAGGAATTAAAGCACTTTTGAAAGGATAAGAGGGTCCAAACCAGTTAAGGTGTAGATGAGTGATTCCCAAAGTACTGCAGATGGGCGACAGTAAAAGCAGAAATTCAGTTTGAAATAATTCACAAGCATGTACAGTTACATATTTGTATACATTTGTTTATTTATGTAAACGTAAATTAAAACTGCTAAGAGCACATATTTAGTTTATGATATTACTCATTATTCTGACCTAAATTTAATGCTCTTTCATTGAAGTTTGAGTGATATGGCCGGATAACATTAACAACTGATAACCAACAGGTGTTGTTGTTAATGTTTTTGAATAAACATTTTATGAAAATACATCACTTTCTTTCTTATTTTTTTTTTTTACTAGAATGAAGATTTACGATTTGTTGTAGAGAACAGCTGTAGAGTTTTATGATCAGCTTTGCAGCGGCGATACCAAACACAAGTACAGTACACTGTGTTTAAATGCCCTCAGAGGCAGTAGGTCAGCAGTGCCTGTTGGCGTAGGAAGTGTTTTCAGTATTTTTAGGAAGAACAATTCTTGTTGTTCTTCCTTCATCACTGCTGTAGTGCTGTTACTAGTATATCATAGGAGTGTATCGGAACCACAACCATGTTGACCAGTGTGACGATAAAACTAGAGAGGTGAGGTTGAGATGGTCTGAACATGTGCAGTGGAGGGATAGTGGCTCTATTGGACAGATAATTTTAATTATGGAGCTGCCAGGCAACAGTAAATAAGGAAGGACATGCAGAGGATTGGTGCATAGTATAGTACATTGTAGTTTAAGCTGGAATAGTAATTAGGTTTAGGTTTGCTGCTGGGCATCTTGTGATCTTAAAGAAAAATAATCCTGGATTAAAAAAAAGTAGTTTACACATCCTCCTATGTTTATAATAGTTTCTATTGTGTGTCTGAACAATGTTTTTTCCTCCGTACTTACCATCTGTTTGACTTCCTTTACTGTCTTTCATGCAGTGCATGCTGAAACAAGCTTGAGCACCCACATACGTGCAAAGCCTGAAAAACCTGAAAAATACCTAAAAAAGATATTGACAAATCGTTACATTAAAAAGGAAAATTGTGTGTTTATTTTAAGGGTCTTCAGTCATGGTAAGAAAAAAAATGTCAACACCAAAAAAACAACAGCTGAGGAAAGGTGAACTAGCAGCCGAAGAACAAGCTGTAGATTAACTTTGTGGGTTAAAACTGCTGATAATCTGTCCTGTCACACCAACTCAGCATTGTTTCTTCTAACACAGCGATCAACAAACTTCTCTATCATGTTTAAAATTAGTTAAACATGCTGTTTCACAATTTAAAAATACGCAAATGTTCCTTTATTTTGTAAGGATCACATTTTTCATAATGATTAATGTTTTTTGAACCACAACATGAAAAAGTATGATGAGACTTACAAATAAATACAGTACATATAACAGTCATACATTTATTTGAAATTTCATCTTTGTGTCATGATTATTCCAGTCTCATGTAAGGAAACTTTAAACCATGAAGCTTTTGTATTTAAAGTGTATATTTTTAATTTACTTTTATGGCAAATTCTACTCACCAAGCTGCTTTTTGTATGTGAAAGAGAGTTGGTAAGTAGAATAGTTCATACTTGAGTAATTGTGAAGTAAAGGTTTAGAAAGTCTGAGTGTTTTTACAGAGGCAAAGATACACTCAGCAGACTCATATAACCAAGTTTCACATCCTCCTCCAGAGTAAGTAGACTCAGCACATTCATAACTGAGGTAAACAGAGGAGTAACAACCCACACTATTTTTACAGCAGTCAAGTTTATTTGTCCTACAGCAGCCACCGTAGCTAGGATTATGCACTTCAAATGAGAAGTGTAGGAAAACTGAATTCAGCTGACTATGATCTGCAACCTACTAACAGCTAGCAGGGATATTTTCCACATTGTACCTTTAAGAAGAAAAACGGTTGGATGTATGAATCTAAAATCTAAATCAATGATTTCACATAGACATACGCAATTTGAATCTACTGACAATGAAGATTAAAGGTTAAAAATGAGGCTCTTCTATTCATAAAAGCAACAGTTGCAGCATGCCAAACATTTATCTGTGTAATGTGAGACACAGCATTAGAACTCTTTAATAGCAATGAACAAAGTTAATGTAATTTAACGTGAACAGTCCTTGTGCTGTTTTTATTGCTGGCACAACAAAACCTCAGTTTGTTGTCCTAAAACACTGATTTGGTTCATCTGGACATCCCATTTTCAGTGGGAGAAACCTTTCGTCACTCATCCAAGTGACATCTTCAGTCTCAGCTGA